AGCATTCTTGTTGAAGGGGCAGAACATTGGGGTTCAATGATGGTTCTTTCCACATATATGTTGTACAAGATTAAGTTAACATTTTTAGGCTTTAGTTTCTATATCTGTAGAATGAAGGTTTGAATTACATTATCTTTAAATTGATTTTTACTGGTTTAGGATGAATTACACTGAGCTTATACTAATGCCAAATAACCATTTTTCTTTAGATAATAAGAGTCATGCTGAAATAATTTGAATTTTTTTGGGTTTGGTCATTATAGGGAATGCATATAAATACTCTTCTTTACATAATTGAATACTAAGCAAGTAATATTTTCTTCATTGGGCGTACAGAATATAATTTTTTTTCAATTTTTTTTTACTATACTCCAGAATTAAGATGGTATCTGAAGGAATATCTTGACTTAAAAGTTTTAAAATGTGCCTATTTTGTAGGTAATAAGATTTAATAGATTACAATGTATTTTTGTTCCCTGTATAATTTTAAATTTTGTTGGAAAGTGTTTTGAGGAAATGATTTTATTTATGTAGCTTCATGGTTTTTGCTGAGAATACTTAGCTTCATTCTTTGTTAGGCTCACAGAATCAATTTGATTCTGAAATCAAGTAAGCTATAATTCAAAAGGGTAAAGAGAAACTGTTAGAAATACTACACATTACTTTAAAAAATTTTATTCAAGAGTTTAATACATTCACATGGTACAAATTAAAAAGGTACCCCCAAAAAAGCAGAGCGAAATTCTCCCTTCTACCTCTGTCTCCCCGCCACTCTGTTTCTCTGTTTGGAAGCAAGTTACTGTTGGCAGTGTCTTCTCTTTTCAGAGAAAGTCTATGTGGAAGCATTTTTTAATTAAAAAATTATTTAGTTTTGAATAAGTACATTTATGTGGCAAAAAAATTCAAAAAGTACACAGTGAAAAGAATTCTCTGCCCAGTCGCCGTTCACTTTCTGGAGACATTGTTTCTTGAGTATCCTTCTGGACATAGATGAATATGTAAACATTATCAGTGTACAGCATGATAGTTTTATAACGCCATACCAAGTGTAGTAGATTTATTAAGATAGTGCATTCCAAATGATGAAATTACTCATATGTTTGAAAATTTGCAAAGTTTGTAAAAGAGTCAGACGTTCCCATTGTTCTACATTATCTTCAAAATTTCAAAGGGCACAGGCATTCCACTGTCTTAAACTGTCTTCTTTTATAGGAGTATTATAATCTTGATATAAATAAGTAGGAAGATATCAAACAAAAATGCACATGTGGTTAATTTTAGTACATTTTGTTACTCAGAATTTGGGAAAGAAATTTTGATTTCAAAGGTGATTAAAGAGGTCTTCAGCTATTTTAGGCGTTAGTTCAAGTCGGTTTGGATCAATGCCCTTTATGTGCAGGTTAGCCTCCAGAGCCCTAGATGTCGCTGTGGCTCCGCGATGGGCGTGTGTGTGCGTCTCTGTGATTACAAACTTGAGGGCAGAGAAGCCGAGTGCGGCTGGGGAATGATGGCTGAGGAAGAGGAAGAAGCTAAGCACATCTTGCAGAAATTACAGGTGAGGCCACAGATTCAAATCTGTGTGTGCTTTTGTTACTCGGGAAGAAGCAGGGAGCCCATTTTATGCAGTGCTTGCCAATTCCCTGGCTCATACTCGGTGCTGCACGCGTCTGTGCGGTTACTATAACAACTCCCGAGGTGCAGCTGGCAGCGGCCAGAAGCTTCCCGTCCAGGAGAGGAACGCAGCCCGTGTGCTAGCACCCGGTGCTGCCGCTGTGAATGCGGAAGGGGAATTGTTGCTCCTTACTGTACTCCTGTACATTCTTGGAGAGGAACTCCCCCGCCCCTCTAGATTCCTCCGTGAAAGCGTATTTATGTGTGTGGCTGGTCTGCATGAACCATTATCATGTGTTGTTTTATCCCTAGAAAGGCCATTTCTTTTAATACCTTTCTGCTTTGAGATTGTCAGCAATCACAGTAATGGCCTGCACTGCAAATATCCTGGTTCCTTTCCTTAGGACTTCACGGTTTGGATATTTTTTTTGACCGCTGTTGTCCCAGTTTGGAATTCATTGCAGACGGGTTCAGGCTTTACCTAGTCCACAGGTACTTGTTCTTTTGACTGTTGTACTTGGTAGGTAGGAGTTATGTAGTTTCTTGATTCTACCTTTTATTTAATGACCTAAGAATTTGTTTAAACCTCAGAAACAGACTGAAATGTGAACATTAAGAGTTTATGACAGGCTTGTAACTTGCTTCAAGGCGTCAAACCCAAAAGTTTTAAGCATTGATGAGATTTGTTTTCTGAGCAGGTAACATAATAGCACTTTTAGAGTGTGGATTTAAGTCACTTCCAGCTGATTTGGATTAACTTCATTTTATTCCCTCTTGTGATGCCTGAAGTCAGAAATTCCCAATCCTGGCTCCATATTAGAAACATCATATATATGTATTTCTGAAAAAGTATGCTAAACACAGATTATCCCTGAGGCTATCTGAGGCTATTTGGAGCGATTATAAGTTTTTTACCTTCTGTTTTTGCATACACCTATTTGAATTTTAACAAATTATAGGTATTGATATTGCCATGAGAGAAAAACGTTCAGTCCAGCAAAACAAAACTAAACAAGTTCTTGCATGTTTGTTTTAGCAACTGAAAATAAATAGAAAGACCTTGTTTTAAACTCCCAATTTGCAGCTAATCCATGCTTTTTATTTTGGGTAGGATTTTAAATTAAATATAACACATGTATTTGTTAGAAACAGGTATGATATATCAATTTAGTCAACATACCTAATGAGAGTCTACCATGATCCAATCCGTGTTCTAATGCTCTGGTGTAACTCAAAGCAAAGTCCTTTGCATTATGGAGCTTATATTCCTGTGGTAGAGACAGAAAATGGACAATGAATAGGTCACATAATTTCAAATGATAGGTACTATAAAGAAAAGTAAAAGAATGATTTAATAGTGTGGGAGATTAGTTTGATTTTGATAGTTAGGGAAAGTTCTAAGAAGCTGATGTTTGAACTGAACTCTAAGTAATGATGAGGAATGACTCATGCAGAGTTCTGAGGAAAGAGTGCCTAGGCATAGGGAAAAGCATATATAAAGATCTCAAGGTGGGATCCAGCTTGATGGCTTTGAGAACTGAATGATGGCTAATATGACTTGAGTGTTATAGGAGGGAGGGTGGTAGGAAGTGGAATTTTTGGCTGGTTGGGTTGTGGGAGGTCAGATCATCCAATGTTGCAACCCATGGTAAGGAGTTGGATTTTATTCTATCTGCAGCTGGAAACTTAGGGTTTGTGATATGATATATATTTTTATTAGGTCACTCTGACTACACTATAGAGAATGGAAGAGAGTAGAATCATAGTGATTAGTAAGAAGCTATTACAGTAGTACAGGCAAGTGCTGAAACTGTTTTAGTCTGGGATGGGCATAGCATGATGGAGACAGGTGGACAAATTTAGGATGTCTTGTGGCAGGGGTTGATAAAATTTGATTGGGTTGGTCTGTATGTTTCTGCTGCTATTCAGTTTCAGGAAAAAAAAAATAGTGAAAAAGTTTCACGGGAAGATTCAGAGACATTTCAAGGAGGAAAGAGAACATTTACTTGCAGATAATGTCAGATAGCCAGAAGATGACTTGACAAAAAACAAAGAAATGGGAAACAAACAAACCACAATAATCATTTAAAGAAACAAAACCTTAGGGCTGCAGATGTAGCTCAGTGGTAGAGCTGCTTGCTTACAATGAGCGAGACCCAGATCCCCAGTGCTGCAAAAGAAACAAAACACTACAAAAATACCAAGGTTACCAAGTTCACATTGGACTGTTTGTGGTGGAAAACAATGCCCTTCTCACATGTTTATCATATTCAGAAAGGTCATTTGTTTTCACATACCAGCATAGGAAAAATTGGGGATAAAGTGTTTTTTGTTAGGAAGTCTAGATTTTAAAATATATATATATATATATTTTTTTGGCTTTGCTGGGGATCGGATATAGGGCCTTTTCCTTGCTAGGCAAGTACTCTGTCACTAAGCTTAGGAAGTCCAGCTTTAAGGGTATATTTGAAAGTTTTAATCTTTGGGGGCCAGAACCAGACAAAATAATCTTGTTAACTTTGGTTTTTCTTAAGTTGCAAAGTGTTTGCCTCCTCCTGACTATGGTATGGGAAGTGCTTAGATATTGGAAGCCCTATTGGAGCTGAGAGAGAGAATTGTCTTTATAGTACAGAGACTGACATGGGACAAGTTGGGACCTTGAAAGTGGGCCCTGGATACTGGCTGCTTTCCTCATGATTTGTGGTGTTTCAGTAGACCTGTCCATCTGCCTATTGTGCCATTCTAGGTGAGAGAAGAGAATCGGTATTTCTAGGCCAAGAGCTAGTATGATTAGTCCTTTTCAAATTTCCTTGTAAGATGCTCTCTCCCCACTTAATGGTACTATTCTTCTGCCTTCTAGGAACTGGTGGATCAGCTCTATTCATTTCGAGATAGCTATTTTGAGACACATAGTGTTGAGGATGCTGGGCGGAAGCAACAGGATGTGCGGGAGGAGATGGAGAAGACCCTGCAGCAGATGGAGGAAGTATTGGGTATGAGCTGTAAAGAACTTGCAGCCCCTTGCTTGTCATTGAAATGTGATAGAGTTTTGTCTCTTTATTTAGCCTGGTCTCTTGTTGGTGGCATTTATGGGTTGGTAGAACAGATTGTTTCTTCTAAGGACCCTTGTGCAGTATATTAAGCTTTCGGTCCCTAAGCTGTTTTCCTAAGGTTTGATAATAGCAAACTTGTTGCTTGAAGTATTGTGGTAATCTCCTTAATTGATCTTTCTGTCTTTAATTCATTTTACTTCCAGATCAACTTATATACTGACCTTGGCCATAGTTATCTTTCTAACTCATTACTTCATTTATTTAATGGCATTTAATCTTATTCTTTTGGCTGGCTTTTTCCCCCCACTAGTACTAGGAATTGAGCCAGGTGCACTGCTACTGAGCTATGACCCCTGACTCTTTTTATTTCTTTAAATTTTGAGATGCTAAGTTGCCCAGGCCTTGAACTTGTGATGCTCCTGCTTTAGCCTCTTAAGTAGTTGGGATTATAGGTGTGTACCACCATATTGGCCCCCTCTTATCTGTCTTTTTGCTCAAGTATCTAAAGATTCCTGCTATTGACTATCTGAAGTCTAACTCCCTTAACCTCATATTTAAGTGTCCATCATCTCACTCTTTTTTCTAACTTTAATTCTGACTACTTGTTTATCAAGGAACTTTTTGTTTCATCCAGTTGGAATACTCATGCTTGCATGAACATACCACATGAATTTTTGTTTATATGATTTTCTAACAGGAAGAATCTTTTTTTTT